GCACAATTGGTGGCTGACTAAATACTTCTTTTTTTTTGCCCCACTGTAAGTGCACCACCAAGCTGTCTTTGTATCCCTCTAAATATCTAATATAATTAAAAATGAAAGTGATTTTGTTTTTACGACTAACTGAACCAAAATTTGATGAAAAGACCAAAGTTTATTAGGACAAATTCTAGTTTTGTGAAGTATTCCAGTGGTGGATTGATAATAACAGAGCAAAATATACATAGCTGGAGAGTTGGGCCTTTTAAACAATTTCTGAGAAAAAGATGTATAGAAGATTAGAAGCAAAAGGGAGACATACTACTTTAAGCATTTGATTTCACCCCTTAAAGAACCTTTAAAATGGTCCTAAGAATAATGGAGCAGGAAATGACTGCAAAGCCTGTTCCGTTTTCATCAACCAAAGTATAAAAGATATCATACTGCACATCCAATGTTTAAATGTCCATGAAGCCTCACCTCCTCTGTAGAGATGGAAGGATTTCAGCATGGCGTTCAGGGCCACAGCGACCGGCCCCTCTGACGCCACGGCAGCCTGCAGAGCTCCCTCATCCCCCCCAGGGAGGATGTGGAAATCAGAGCAGTAGCCGGCCTTTCCTCTGAGTGAATACCGACACTTCCCGTTCTACAAACACATGTGAGATTGACTAATTATAATATGTATCCATCTATCTAAATGAACCTGTTAAATATGTTGCAAGTTTTATTCTCTTAAACCACTTGTGTGGAAGTGTATCTTGATTTTGTTCTAAGGGTGAATATACATCAAACAACAACACAGTGTATTATTTGTATTAAAGGTGGGGTAGGTTATTTTGGAGAAACCAGCTCGAGTGCGCTAGAATTAGAAAATACACAGCCGGAACAAATCTGCCACTTCCTTACAGAGCCCCTCCTCCAACACACACGAACGCACCGATGAGCAATGAGGGCACGAGATAAGTTTGTGCACAGATGGAAGGCTGACAGGCAGGTAGGCCGTCCAGTTACTTTAGCCGTGGCCGGCTAAAATGATTGGTCGTGCTTTCTACAGTACTACGGCTTCCAAAGATGAATTTTTTATGGATTCTTTATCAAATCACTTAAGATATTCATTGCTATTGGGATGTTAAGAGCATTCCATGGAATATAACAAAAAGTATATCTCGAGCCGGTTTCTCAAACTTACCTACCCCACCTTTAAGTATGCAGAGTGATTACAATGCATGTTTCAGCGTAAATATTAATATACAAATCTACATTTCTCATATCACCTCAGCTAGAAACAGAGTTTCATTCTGTATTTAACACATCTGTCAAAACACAAATCCAGCTCTGAAATATAATTATAATTAATGTTTCATACATACATACATACAACAGACTACATAAGCATTTAGGAAATATATTTGGCATGATGGTTTGTCTGTTTATCAGAAATTCTCTTGATGGCGGGTTGATTTGGCAAGTAAACTGACTAAATGCAAAATATAGAAAAAAACAAGAAGAAACTACCAAACTGTAAAACAATACTTTAATATGATAATTCTTAATATAACAACCTTGACAGTTAATTCCTTACCTGGTGTTCGTAGGGGTAAAACCTCTCTGAGTCCACGCCTCGGTTGCGGATGACGTAGCTGAAGGATTTGGAGATGTATCCTCCTCTGCAGCCTTGGTTCCCGTCGCTGGTGCTGCAGTCCACCAGGTTCTGAGGACTCAGGGGAACCAGGACTCCTGTTCTCCTCTTCATCTGACCCTCGAGAGCCCCCAGAGAGCTGAAGGCCCAGCAGGACCCGCACATCCCCTTCCAGAAAGATAAATGATTGCCACTGGTTGTTTATTAGCTCTTGTTCCCTCAATTAAAATGGCTGATCTAAAATGATTGCTCACCTGGTTTTGGACCGGACTGACCAGGCCGTGCTTCCTCCAGTCGACACTCTGAGGTGTCGCTGAGCCTCTCGGTTCCTTTAAAGTGACATTTCTGAAATCAGCTGACTCCTCCAGCCTCAGGCCGTTCAGCTTCTCATTGACTTCCTCAGCTGTCTTGAGAGAAAAGAGGGCTGATAGATCATATTATGCCATGCACATACAGTTCATTTAACAATTTCAGCAGCAGTTTGAGGACATGATGAAATATATATATCAGCGTTCCTCAAATTCCTCTTCTCCCAAAAGTTTCTCTCCAAACCTTTCATCCTCGAATCTCCAACCATAGCCCTCTTTTGAAATATTTATTTTAGAATCACAGATCTGCAAAGGAAGTTTGTATTTGTGCATGTAGTGTCCTTCAGACACCAGCAGGCAATCATAAAACTAACCACAAGTTCCTCTGATTCAAGTTTACACTTCTGCCTTTAGGAAAAAGAGAACAAAATAGACCACAAATACTATGTCATTTTTATTTGAACTCAATAAATCGCAACGCCAGGTCAAGCCTTTAACTCGCCCCCCGTTTTTAGCTGCATGTGTAGTCCTTGTGTGGGCTTCAGATTTGACTAGTTTTCTTGCATCAGCACAACAACTCTGTAAAAACGATAAGAACATTTTAGCCTTCCCCACATACTGTACGTCCCTTCATGTGTTCATCATCAAAGTAAAACATTTCTTTATTACCTTCCAACACAGCCTAAAAAATGCCCTTAGTCTCTAGGTTTTGACTACAAACCTTTATCAACACTTCACTGAGCATAATGATTAATGTCCTATTCAAGTAATGTTTCGCATGTACACCAATCCTTTATGTAACTTTATTAGCCCTCCCAGATGCACTTTACTTAATAATGGTCCAGAATGAATGTCCAGATTGGCCCAGCCATACTGGGTTAAATTAATCAGATTGTATAAAGCGAGATTAGTGCTGTTCTATAGGTTAGGATTTAGTTCAGCCACGCAGGGTGCAGGTTTAATGCAGATTACCAGTGTTGGTCAGTGACATCAGTCGCGTGCCAGCAGATGTCAATGAGTGTGAACCAGCTTTAATGTCCAGCAGCGAGAGGAGTCAGTGAAGGGACATCATGTTCAGGGTGAGATATCTGCCTGTTTACTATCTCTGATCCCTCCGATACATTTGTCTCTTAAATAATGATGACACGTTCAAAAATGTTGAGCACTGTAGGGCGTTCTTCGGTTTGGCAGTAACATTTCTTGTTGAATATATTCAGACTTGAAAGATACAAAGAGGTTGTAGCGGCCAAAATCATATAGAAATAAAACAGATAATTAACTTAAAATAATACAGCCGCTGAGGCACTAGTTAGCAGATCTTACGCAGGGCAATGATCCAGGTCCAGACAAGATTCTCCGTTGTACATTTATTATGATCCAATATCATTGACAATGAACAGGTTTCCTATGGTTTGTTCCTT